GTTCTCAAAGACAGCGAAGGGTGTTGCAATCGTATTCTACGGACCACAAGAATATTACATTTTATTTGAAGGTTCTTGACGAAAAGAATAATTCCACGACAGCTGTTGCCTTGTCCGATGCACGTATGTGCTGTCGGTAGTCCAGGTGCGTCAGCAAACAAAGATTCTGACCCTCCTGCAGTTTAACTATATCGTTCTGAGTTGCGACGGCTATCGTTGTGTTCGTCTAGTTTTATCACCTACCTTGTTTCTTCGCCTGTGTATGTCTGTTTCTCCCACAACTGTCCTCCTCCCACAACAAATATGGCGCATTTCGCCGACAATCTGCTCATTAAAGATCGTGCATTGTGTTCCCATCATGACGATGATAAGATAAACTGGCAATTCTCTGCACCCGGTTGAGTTTTTCTCTACATCTCCGCTTTCCTTCCTTGATATAATCATCAACGCTTCGCAAATACCGTATATTTCGTGTTTATTTTTGACTTGTATGCCTCGTCTAAATATGCTTACATTTCTGTCAGTTTTTAATATTCCATTCCTATACTACTTCATCACCTCTAGAGTTCCTTCCAAGATATTCAATTGCGACAAACATCTGAGAATGCGTAGTTCACTCTATAGCCTAAGCAACACTTAAAAGAGAGCCGTGGAAGCTCTCCGTCTTGAAAACTTATCCACAAAGGTTATAGACTTCGTACAATTTACAAGAGTCGTCAACAGCGGGTTATGACGTTCTGATAGTGAAAGTATCGGCACACTAAGGCTGAACTGTTGCAATAGGTGGAAAATCAACATCAGTCTTCCGAATATGGGACCCCTTTAGCGCTGTGATTCGAGGTGCCTTGCAACAGACAGTGGATCGGTAGCTGGTTCCACAACTCAAGCGAACCCTCTCAACAAGCCTGCAAATTGGTACCAGACTTCTCCGGGAGGATAGCAGAATTGAACTGATACATTGATAGGTCATCACAAGTCATTGTGGTGGCCAGATATTTATTTGATCACCTCTAACTATGCTCGATGATGTTGAATGCATGGTGCTTCCTTCAGGGATTAATCAATGCAGAATGCCTTATCCTTTACCATTTTATCTTGCGCTGTGAGTATCGAGGTCTGTCATCCTAATCAGGCGGTATAACAACCTGCCCTTGACAACGAAGCTTCCAACTGCCATTGGAATCGAACCAAAATGGTACGTTAACGAAATTTTTGGCTCTCGCAATATCAGAAATTCTTTCTCAAACAGCAGTTTTCATGTAGCACTCAGTGCCACAGGTGATAAGAAATTTCATCTAATCATCTTAAAAGAAACCAAAAATATATCGACCGCTAAACGTCCATTTTGTGGTACTTTTATTATTCATGCAAATGTTCCTTTCACGAAATGTCATTTACATCATTTTTTGTGCACTCATACATTGCCCACGGCGTCGACTCACACCTATGTTGAGATTCTGACACTTTGGCTGGCATTCTTCATAACCGCCCTTCGCATCGAAAGAATTTATTGCTATTCATCAACGGTGACAAAGGTCAATTAGACATGTTCTGTCAACCAACTAAAGAAAGTTATTTGAAGCAAGAAGTCTTGAAAATTTGTTGATGGAGTGATGGCAGTAGAAGATCAAAATAAAACAGACACTTTCTCGACGGACATTCATTCAAAATTTGCCTCTTCTCCTAAATTCCATTCGTCAATAAAACATAACTACGTCGCAAGGCAGTGAAGCCTATGACTACCCGTATGGAGAGGGACCACATTTATACGAGAGGAGACTGGTTTATACTTTTACAGCATCGTTCTATCATGAACTAGACCACCTGGGTCTGAGCAGACTAGCTCGATTAACCCAGAAGTTAGAAGGTAATTGCTTTTCTTTGAAAACCTATGTACAATTCACGCTTGAAAAAAGAAACATCTCGGAAGAAACTCTATTCCTTCCCGATTCGTTAGCAAAGGATGCACATACGAAGTCTAAATCTATTTGTCAAACAACTGCGTAACTGCGATCGTTGGTTTCAAGAAAGTTTCCCAGTCTTGGAACCCCATATGATATTTGAATAAAAAAAAAGAGTTATGTCATCGATGGTCAACAGGCTACCTGTCATTGGATAGAGCACGAACAGATATGCTTGGTGGGCGAATAACATTATAAAGAGATGGTACTTAACAAATCTTTACTGCCACCACTCTCTGACCACATCAAGATTTTCTCCACGCGAAGTTTCTCTGACGCAGCCACAAGCTAAAAAAAACGTTTACCACTTACCATCGGATTCCAGGTTTACTCTGAACTTTGGAGTATATAATAAATTACTGATCTCATCAACGCCAGTAGAGCTAGGATGAGATTCTTATCACCTCCCATCCAATACGAGCAGTAATGGTAAAGTATTCTAGTGTCTTTCCCGTGGCAGGGTCGAACATCTCTGGATTCTTCGCTTTAGATTCTAATTGCGTATCCGAAGAAACTTCATTCTGTCACATCATCCTAGTCAACACCTCCGGTAGGAGTATCAGTGAAACAGAGACGACGCTTAAGAGGTCGAGAAAAGAGAAAAAGGCTAAAACTAAATATAGCTCGGAAAAAAACCAAACGGATGAATAATCTTTGGTGTGATTAAGAACGAATCAGGATAGATGGCTCTTCGAGCACAAGGATTAGAATGCACCCACCTTAACTATCACGGACTACGGCATCAAGGATTAACAGAAACGCAGATTAAGAGCACTGGGTTGGTGAACAAGTGCTGCTGGTCTCTGGATGGAAACCTTCAAATCCGACAAATTAAAATACAGCTTTATTAAAACCTTTTTGAGTGTGTTTTGATTTCAATTCGTAGTTGCCAATTGTTTAACTTGCTGCTTTTTCTCGTCCAATTTATGGCTTATGCACAACAGAATTTGTTTCGAAAGTCAGCCTCGTGAAAAGTTTTTCTAAAAAGACCTCTTTGAAAAAGGATGTTCTGTGCAAACTGCGGGGCAAAAAATTGGATGTAGTCTCAAGCAGCCGCCACACCAGATTAGGCGTGGTAATGCGTGTATTGGGCAAAGTAGGAACAACTAGAACTCAAAGTTGAGTGTTTCCAACAGGACTGAAGTTCTTTTATTCCAGCACGATGAAATTCCTTAGCTCTGGGAGTGAAAAATTCTTTGAAGACAGTATTTCGTAAGCAAACTTTCCTTTAAGCTGGGCATCACTGATCAATATGTAATCTTTCACTGAGAAGACGTCTTCAAAAGACGGACTTCTAGGAGATTTTTAGGAGTGGGTTGGGTAAGAATTAATCTTTAGAAATAATTATCAAGATGCTTGAAGAAGAGGTATCCGTTGTGAGGTGTTCAATGAGTGCTGTCGTTAGTTAGGCTGAGTTTAGCAATATCAATTCATTGTACTTCTGCAATGGTCGATTTGCAAAGAAAAGCGAAACATTACCATGCTGTAGGATAGAGCCTTTGTTGTTGAAAAATTGTTGATACATAAGCCGATGTTCTTGATGCATGCTTTATTTTTAAACTTTTTAGCCGTATTTCGCTGTTGCGGCTTTCTTCGCCAGAAATCAGATTGTACTGGACCAAAACACCAGTACACAGTAAAGCGTAGACAACAAGTACTTTTGGTTTAATTTCTATAAGATCCATGAAGGCCAAATCCACCGTTATTCTACGGCGATCTAACCACTGCACCTTGAACCACTCAAAAAGTGATTCGTAACCTCCCATTCGACTCTGATATTGAGGGTTGACAGCTATACCGAATTTTGCATCAGATAAATATTTGAAGAAACTGCGGTATACGAAACAGACCCACTATTTTCGTGAACGACATTTTTGATAGAACGAAATAGATTGAGGTTGACAAAAAGGTTAGCTTTCGGCTAACGTTTCGATGTTTCATGTTCCTCAGAGACCATTAACTCGGATCATTGGTTCTGAAAAAAACGAAGACGTCAAAACATTAATCGGATAAACTTTTTTATCAGGCTCGTCTTGGCTTAATAATCTTTAACGGTATTCATTACTAATGCTGAGGTTTAGTAACGGTTGGCTGGAAATATATTGAAATGCATCGAAATTACGCTCGATGTTCACAAGAATTTTTAGACTGACATCCTCTGTACTAATATTTACATGCATACATTCCTTCAACTCTTACAAAGCTAGAAATGACGCCACCAATACTACTACTCAGTCATTAAGCTTACTGTACTAGTGTCTTTAAAAACCGTCGATTTTTACTACTATCATGTGCTGATAAAGTCTCACTTACACTACTTCATCCATTTTATTATCGGCCACCTACAACATCAAAAGGAATTCGTCCTTATGAACATACATACTACCGTATCGATAAGATATATGTAAGTAGCGATTTGTACTATTTTGCTACCATATCGATATTAATGTGTTCCGTTTTGTGTTTTTGTTTTGAAGTGTTCACGCAACAACAATTCACGTAACGACTTGGTGAAACAATGACAATGGTGCAACACAGCTTTGGTGCAAAATTCGAATGGCAGCTTTAACAGATGTTAATGTATCACTTGGTAATCAAGTGAATCCAGCAAAAAATCTGTTTTTTTTTTGGCTGACAGAAATGAATCTAGCTTAACCTGGAAAGATGGCCTTTGCACCACAAGGGTACACCGTTCGGGTTCGGACATTCTCTTGTTCGATTCGATAGCACTTTTACGCATTTGAATCGGGCCAGAACTTAGCCATATGCATATTAACAGTGTATTTTTGAACTGAATGAACTCATATAAAATAATCTCTCTGTGCTTTTCGTTTCGTAGACTGCGAGAGTGAAAACAAGCGATCTAATCTTCATTAGAGTTCCTTGCTCATTTACTAACATCAGTGAGCACGACTCAAATTTTAAGCATCCTCGTAAACACAACTCGCTTGTGAACTGATTTTTGATAAGACAAAAGAAACACTGTTGTGGTAAAACAACCTGTTCTCTTATGACAGCCGAAATCATCTTATCTTAATTATGGTCAGACCTGATCACTTATCGGTATATTTCAAGGTTCCTCCCTTTTTCCATTTTTTCCTTTCTTCACTTATATTCCACTTCGAGAAAGGATTGCTGCTAGTGCAGTTATAGTAATATCGACTATCACGAGCAGGGTCTTGTCCGACTCCAAGTTGGGCTCACCAAACCCCTCTTCTCTTTAGGACCGGAGATTTGGTGCCATGCCTTGGGAAAAATGCGCTCTGGTGCAATCCAAGTGAAAACGCTTTGCTCCGGCCAACTCGGGACTCCGTGGAAAGTCGACAGGATTGCCTTTCAACGACATTCGTGATAAAAGAAAATTCTCAAACGATAACTGAACCTATAGGCAAAAGTCGGAATACCTTCGTGGATGATGGATGCAACCGAGCAAGAAGAGCTGGAATCCACGCAGTAGATGTGAGGAAAAGGTCGGGCGAACATAATACTCCATTTGCAAACTGAATCAATAGAGGTATCCGGAAAACTAACCCTTGAGTTGCTTAACTTAAATGCCAACAGAACTTTATCTTTTGCGATAAACCGTTCGTAATAACAAGCCAAACTCAAAAACATCAGTTGCGCTTAGAACCCGTGTTTGCCCTCACCGTGTGCTCACGTACCATCCACTAAACCAACCAAGAGTCTTGCTTTGTCTTTCTTGCAGCCATATTTCCCCCTATCGGTGCTATCAGCAATTACTTGTCAGTGGGAACAAGTTGCGTGTTCAACGCTTCAAACCCGCTGACCTGTGATTTTTTGATAGCACTGAGAGCGTAAAAACATGGCCGAGGAAAAGACAACCATGGTTGGTCTAGTGGATGGCACGTGAGCAAACGGTAAGGGCAAGCGCGGGTTCCGAGCACAGCTAATGTTTTTGAGTTTTGTTCATATCTCAGCGTCCCTATGGTTTACTTTCATATAATCGTTTGCCACGAAAAAAACCGTAGGAGCTAAATTAGAAAGTTAAGACTAAACTCATCTTAGAGTTTTCGCTAAAACTAATTGCCATATTCGCCGTGTATTTGTGCTTTCGACTTTTGGATTGTCTAGAAGATCTGTTAAAAATCTGCTTATAATAATCTGTCTATAATGGTCTATAATCTATATAATCTCTCTATAATCTTTCTATAATCTCTCTGTAATCTCCCTATAATTTCAGCCACAATTGATGCCCTCCGTATCGATACATGTGCTATCGATAGCTCTCTGTCTGTCGTCAGGGTTCCAACAAGGCTATGTGGCATCGGTGCTGAATCAACCGTATCTCCAAATTGAGAAGTTCATCAATGAGTCATGGGTTGAAAGGACAGGCTTACCTTTACAACGCGACGTCCTAGTGTGTTTAATGAGTATAGCGTAATTTTTATATATTTCTCCTCCAAATATTGTCAAACTAAGATACAATTCAATATTTCTTCCATCTAACATATCTAAATGACGACCATCTCCTACTCTGATCACTATGTTAGATATAGTTCCATAAGACCGAAATACACAGCGTTCTGAATGAATGAAGGGCAAATTAGACGTCGGGCATTGCATACCATGCATTTCCTTCTCGATGTATTTTTTTGCCGTACGTAGCTGCTTTACTATCACTTTTCCTTCACTCGCTCGATGACTTCTGCAAAACGGTTGTTCCGTTGGGTGCAACTCGTTGAACATTTGATAATTTGCGAAAGATCTTTTCTCGGACGAGCGTTATTGTGGTGAGAGACTATTCCTGCTGAAGTAGTTTGAACCACAGGGAACGTTGCTGATGAAGAGTTCGCAAAAATGTCCCTTCTACTGTTTTAGACACTAAGCTTCGACACTTAAAAATCATTGCACTGCAACAACATGGTAGATCACAAAAGAGCAGCCCGATTTTCATAAAATGTGCATTCGTCACTGCGCTCCCAAACAGTCTGTCTTCACAAGCAGTCGTCAAGTCTTATTACTACAAATTTTTAGTGCTATTTTATCCACTGGGCTCAAGAGCATTTATTTCGCAATTTATCATTCTTAACTTATACGTGCACGCAATCAAAAGTTGCTATATAAAGAGAATGTAAAATATTGGAGATTGATCAGTATTTGAGGGATCCATCATGGAATCGTCTTCATGGAGTACTCTAGAAGTGACTAAATGCATATCTGACGTAGCTGGTTTTTGCTCCCTGTCAATATATAAAATCAGTACTAGCATCCTCCCAGACAAGTATGGTAGCAATTAGCCGAACCTAAACGGAAGCGTTCTTTGTTCCGACGACCAAATGTGAATTGCAGGACACCTCTAACCTCTGCACTACACGGATCTTTAAAAATGCCAGATGCTAAGTTAGGCAAAAAAGATACATCGAATAGAAGAAAAAGACTTGACGATTTTCATATAGAACCATTACAAGGTAGCAAACTTACCGCGGCTAACCAAGCCCTCCATCACTTAGGAGTCGACGAATTAGTATCAAACTGGTCTGGGAGGATAAAAACCTCATTTTATACATTGTTAAGCTATCGATTAGTCATTGTAGAGGTCAGATATGCATTTAATACGATTAAATGATCACCTTTACAGTTGTACGAATGGAGTCGAAGGCATTGCCCATTCTTATTAGGTTGATCAATGCCGGACAATTTATCCTCATATGCTTAATACGTCGGATTTTTGGTAATATTCCTAATAGTTCTATAAGTTAAATAAAACAAGTGATTTGTTATCACGGCAATATTGAAAGAACCGTTAGTGGAAATTGAACCAAAATATCGAACAAGTGATTGATAGTAAAATCAAGCAAAAAAAAGTGCGGAATTCGAATTTGGCGCAATCTCAAATAATCCCAACATTCTAAATTAGATGAAAGGATAAATGAATTCACTATAGAGCAAAGTATTTATGGATAAATTTGATGCTACTACATTCAGCGATTAGTAACTTACCTGCAAGTGGTTATTCAGAATGTGCTCTGGTCTCTGCTTAATGTGTGCTTTCCTATAGCCACAATCATCGGACAGTTTCTAGCAGCATTTCTTTGCAAGAAGCTTGGCAGGAGAGGTACTGCACTAATGGCGAGCGTCCTTTACATACCTGGAATAATTTCATGTGCTGCGTCAAAGTACCTGCATCCATACTTTGAATTACTGTATATTGGGCGAATTTTATGGTAAGCAGATCTAATGCCTTAAATGAATAACTGTATTACAATTGATAATTGATGATTCAAGGTCCCTTGCTAATGGTGTGCACAGTGTTAATGCGACAGTATGGATTGTCGAATGCGCACCTTCCGCGATAAGAGGAAGGATGGCTGCTATGCAAGAGTTTTTCATGGCAGTTGGTGAGTTGGTGCTGTGAATTCAGCAACTATAGTGGAATACAACCACAATGATGCTCAGATATTCACAAAACTTGGACCTCAAGCCAGATCGAATCGAATTATGGTAACTGGGTTCAATACCGATTTGTGCTTCCCAGATTAATCCCGCCGACGAGTGATTGCTTATGACAGCGTTTGGTAGAAAACAAGCTGAGAGAAAGGCAAAGCATGGGATAATGGTGGAGTGTGTAACGCGTAAGTCCCCAGAAGGGGTAATCCTAGTTTGGTCTAGCCCGGTGTTCGATTTTTGCCAATATCTCAGCATAATTGTGGTTCTATCTCATATCGTACCCTGCAGTGAAAATTAGAGTAGGCAGCAAATAAAATGTTAACATTATAGTCAAATAGTTAAAGAAACTTTGCTTTTTTATAAAAAATAAATAAGCGAGATCCAACTCTAATATCATCCACTTTCTTAAGGATCGCTGGTTGTCCAAGCACTGGGAGTTCCTTTCTCGAATGACGACTTATGGCCGTACATCTTCTTGCCTAATATCATCTTCGTACTTTTGACAATGATTCTGTTTGTCTTCGTACAGGAATCACCTCAATTTATAATGGAAAAAGATGGGAATAAAGAAAAGGTAACTACTTAGTAATGCTACGAAATATACTAGCGTCTTCAATCTGTCTACAGGCTCGAAAAGCACTTGCTGAGTACCACGGTGTGAGTGTGAACAACCCGGCCGTAGAAGCAGAACTTAATATCTGTGAGGAAAGCATAGCGAAAAAGAACGAAAAAATAAAATCGAAGGTGAGTTTATAAAATTTCTCCTTGTTTATGATTATTGAACTGTCCTGAGATATTGCCTAAAAGCTCGTGTAGCGCAGTGGTCGGAGGCGCCCTACAATACACATGGGATAGATCCCCGCGCCCAAGGCTTGACAATTCTTCTATCCCTCCGGAGCCGGAAAATTGGTATCAAACTTGCCTGGGAGCATGGCAGCACTGACTCGATGCATGGGTACACAGCGCGGGCCAATGTAAAGGCTAGATATGCATCCGATCACCTTCAAACGGTGATTAATGAAGCCAAATTCATGGCACGTCCCTCAGGGATTGATCAACGCCGACAACTTTATCCTTTTACTGAGCTAACGACCTGTTGATGTTATTAAGCAATACATTATACTAACGAGTAAGGTAGCACTAATATATTTCCGTTATTCCTAGAAGAAATGAATAGTACCACCTGTAGAAAATGGTTCTTTTCTCGTTTAAAACAGGAAAACGAAATACTCAAACATCAGAACTAAAAATAAGTGCTCTGATTAAACGAAAGATGATTCTGTGAACCAATTATGCCTTCCAGACGGATCACCACTCGGTCACGGTGATTTTCATGCCTTGGAAAGCTAACGATGCATGCTCTCGAGTTTATCGCCAAGCTGCTTGGCTCGGTGTGATGGTTAAGGTGAGATTTTGCAACGTAACTTCGTTGACTTCTTACTTTTCTGTTGGCATCCATCAATAGTTTATTGTTCTATGAGCTCCGAAGAACATTTACCAGTGATCAAATTCCAAAACTTGCTGCACAACTTTTGGTCATTACCGATTATAACCACAACGATACAGAGTTATTTGAAAAACATGGACGACAAGTCAGATACGAATCCGCGCCTATAGGCCCAGGAGTTACCCACTGTGCCAAGTTTTAAGTTCACAAATACTTCATCATCGTTTTGGTTGTATTTCACATAATACCCTAATGCGAAAAATAATAGGAAGTGGACAAAAGGTCAAACTCTGATTACAGCTTTTTTTACTTTATTTCCAATCACAGTAGAATAAGGGTGGGCGTAGGGTGTTGGGTACTTCTAGAGTTTTCTATTATCATGACACTTGAAAAATATTTGCTAGGATTCTATAGAGAACACTTAGCTGACCTACGCTTAAAGAACCAGCAAAGAAATTGTAAATAGTGAATTTCAGATTGCGTATGTTTTCACTGGGGCCAGATGCCTGAGAGCGTTCAGCACCTTTCTCCTCTATGATATGGGAGGTTGGAGTTATCAGTACGCTCTGTACGGCACGTTCATCACCAGTGAGTTCATATATAAAGGTTAAGCATATATCTGAGAAAGATCATAGATATATATGTATATTTACTTGAGTTTCTACACACTTTCCATGGCTATTCTATAAAGCCACTAAATTTTAGGTTTACTACGAATCCCCTTCACATTGGTGCCGGTATTTCTCGTGGATCGTTTGGGACGTAGACCGTTAATGATTTCCACCACAGCTATTTCTTTTATTTCTTTGACTACGATGCTTATAGGAATTGAAATTGGACCAAGCTGGAAGGTTTGTTTATAGTTTACATATATATGTCTACGAAGAAAAGGACAGATCAATAGGATCAGTACCGATTCAGCAAGCAATCTGAAGTTAAATTTGATATGTGGGATCACTGGCAAATTAGGAGACGTTGGCCTGTACGATGGACCAATTAAAATTTGCTCTATTTTAAGATCATGCTTAACAGATAAATGAGACATCTTGGTTATAAACCATTCAGCAGTCCTCAGAATGTCTTCTATTTAATTTGCATGTTAGAGGAGTAGGGCTCTGGCCAACAATACAGCCCGCTAGGAAACAAGGGACTGGCTGGAACCCCTCAGCGCTCTGCTCCCAAATCATGTGGGAACGCCGTAGCTCCGCTACCTCCAAGATTCCAAAGCGAATCCACTCAATCAGCATTCAACTACATTCATAAGGAAGATAGAATCCTCAAGCAGTAGCCAAAATATCATAGGAAATGTTCAAAAACCTTTATAGACGATGAATGCGAGAAAGACGAATTGAATGCAACTGCACAAATGCGCACGGTAAATGTGGTGACGGGCCGTATAGACATAAATAAAAACTTAGAAAAATTGCGTTCCGATTTTTCGTTACACTCTGCTGTGAGAAATTACAGTAGGCGGCAAATAAAATGTTAGCACTGTGACTTCAACTACAGCCTCAGCTTAACTGGGTTCAATGCCGATGTGGCTACCTAAATCAATCCTGTTGAGGGGTGATTGCTTATGGCAATGATCGATGGAAAACTAGAGCTGAGAGAGAGGCAAAACAAGAATCCTCTTGCTGTGGTGATGAACGCGTTAACCTGCAGAAAAGTTATAGCGCGTTCGTTCTCCACCACAGACACCTGCTATCCGGAGTTTTACAAATATCTCAGCATCATTGTGGTAGTATTTCGCATTATACTATGCCTTAAAAAATATAGTAGGCAGCAAATAAAAAGTCAGAATTGCTCTACTTTTTCAATGATAGCCACTGCTCGAACGAACTGCTTAAGGCCACACGTGACCATAGCATGTTTTGACCTAAAATCGCATTTAAGACAGCGAAGAAGATGATACCTGACGATGCGCTACCTATTCTGGAACAGCTTACTTTGATGACCGTGTTCAACGTGTTCAAAAGTGATGTGGGTCCTAGCACAAGTTCCATTTGTTTCGTTCCTGCAATCGTCGCCCATGCTGGTATCCTCCTTCGAACATGGTGACATCTGCGAAGCCTACCCTGTTACCTAAAATTGTTCCCATCTACGAATTCAGGTGGTTGGAGCTAGCCGTGAAAGAGTCTGATCATCGTTTGAGTGATCGTTCCACGATTGCGGTTGCATCTTTTTGAATTGATGGGATAGGTTCCGAAGATCTGAGCTATGCATTCCGGCTAGGTATTATAAGTGCCGGTTGAATTAGAGAAGACGTCATTAAGACGGTCTGTAGGTTATAAGCAGATTTCTTGACGTGGTTGAGGCATCGGCCCACGTTCTACTGCACAACAGAGCCCTAAGAAGAGTTAAGTTGTGTGTTAAGATGGGTGCGGTGTTTTAGGTCCATTAGCTGATCGGTGACTGTTTTCAAGGGCTCGAACGTGGCCTACGCTGATCTCCTTCTTCTGTCTAATTTCTCCTCCACGTTGTTCCCCATGTCCAATTCACCATCATATACATGTGTTGCCCAATTTTTTTTACCGCTTTACTGGTCTCATTGATCATCACCTCTGCTTCGTTGCTGCATTATAGTTTTCCATCAATGAGCATCTCATTCTCGTCCTAATCGACTGACTTGATTATCCAGCACAGTACGGTAGTAATCAGTTTAGCGACATGGTGTCACCCTGACGAACCTCTTTTCCCATGAGTATGGTGAGAGGCCAACGAAAGAGTTGTATATTTGTCCTGCAGTTCCCATAAAAGTCAACTAGTGTTCGTATGCAGGACGTGTCCACTCCTTGGTCGACGAACCCTGACAGAATTTCATCGGTCTCACACGCTTTCTCGTAATCGATAAAGGTTGGGAAAAGAGACAGATGGTGCTATCGACAGAATTTTATGACTCACCACACGGTTTGAATATGGTCAACACAGCGCAATCCCTGCTGGAATCCTACTTGCTCGACTGGTAACGCCTTGTCCAAAATTGTTGACGTGTGCAACTGCTCTTGGGTTGGATGACCTTGCACGACGTCCTCCACTGGTCTAGGATTTTCTCTCTCTGAACGTAAGATGTCATATGGGTTGCGAGGAATACATGTAATTTGTGGCCTCCAACTCGAAGTAACTTGGCGGTGATACTGCCGAGACCTGGAGCTGTGGCCGCCTTCACGGCTTCTGCTGCAAGTCGAATTTCAGAGGGTAGAATCCGGGTCAGTTTTCTTGCGGGAATTTTAGAGTTCGATATGGGGTTGTGGAGTGCAAAAGATTGGTATAGAACTTTTTCGCTATCGATTCCATGTCATGGCAAGATATGGTGACAGTTCCACATTCGTTCATTAGGGCCGATAGTGTAACACTATATTCGCACAGATTCGGGTTTCACTTCTTCAGACGACGTCGGTTTCGAGCTGCTTCCAATAACTTTTCTGGTTATGCCGACATGAATCCTCCTGCAAAAATTTTCTACAGCTTGCACTTATTATCAGCCGTGTTAGGTGTATTGCTGCAAGACCAAGCTCCAGTTTCCTTTCCTTTTCGATCAA